CAAACCTAGCTACTTTAATGCATGTTGGAATTCTGGGAGTGGAAGTCCACATGTCTGGCTGGGAAATTCTGGGAGTGGAAGTCCACATGTCTGGCTGGGGAATTCTGGGAGTGGAAGTCCACATGTCTGGCTGGGGAATTCTGGGAGTGGAAGTCCACATGTCTGGCTGGGGAATTCTGAGAAATCACATCTTTTGTAAAAACAAAAAAAAAGCTGCTATGCAGAACCATCTCCTCTGCACTGGAACTGCATATTTAAAGTCAAAGCAGTTTAAAAATGAAATAGGAAAGAATTTGTGATAAGGAAGGTCTGGGTTGATTATCAGTTTCTATAACGGATACCAAATATGAAGAATTAATATTCCAGCCCAAGCCACTGCACTTCCCTTTCTAAAGAATTTATTTTTTTTCCTACCCACCAGATGGTGCTGGTGATTAAATTTAAATTCAGAACAATTTATCATCCTTGAAAAAGGGTTTTGGGCAGTGGTGAAATTCAAAAATTCCCTACCGGTTCTGTAAGCATGGCTTGGTGGGTGTGGCTTGGTGGGGGTTATGTGACGGTGGGTGTGGCCAACTTTTTAAAAAACCTTTTAGCATTTTTTACTACCTATTCACCGGAACCAGTAATTTAAAAATGCTAAAAAGTTTTTAAAAAGTTCCGACAATCAGCTGTGACAATCAGCTGTTTGCTGATCCAGAACCTTTTTTTAACGGTTTTTTAGCATTTTTTTTACTACTGATTCAGGCGAAATGCTTTTAAAAAGTAAAAAAAGTTTCCGACAATCAACCTTTTAAAACTTTTTAAAGCATTTTTTTACTACCAATTCGAGCGAACCAGCTCAATCTGGTAGAATTTCACACCTGGTTTTGGGGTATATTTTTTGGTATTATAAACCAGATTTCACTGTAGCTATCAAACACAGCCAAAAAACATTTAACTTCCCTCCTTGCTCCTATGGCCAATTTTTTTCAGTTCCATTACTGACATTCCTGCCTTTTCATGATGCAGGTAATCCTCGACTTATGACCACAATTGAGCCCAAAATGTATGTTGCTAATTAAGATATTTATTGTGGGTTTTGCCCCATCTTATGACCTTTTCTGCCACAGTTGTTAAGTGAATCACTGCAGTTGTTAAATTAGCAGCATGGTTGTTAAGAGAATCTGAATTCCCCATTGACTGTTTGCCAGAAGGTCCCAGATGGTGATCACATGACCCAGGGATACTGCAACCGTCATAAATATGAGTCTGTTGCCAAGCATTTGAATTTTGATCAGTTAACCATTGGAATGTTGCCACAGTGAGAAGTTTGAAAAATGATTGTAAGTTTTTTTGGTCTCCAGTGCTGTTTGTAACTTCAAATGTCACTAAACCAATGGTTATAACTCAAGGATTACCTGTATATTTGAAAAACAAATAAATAGGTACAATGTATGAAAGAAAGCTGATTTCCACTTAGAAGAGAAAGAATCAGAAAGTTTGGTGACTGCTAATCGAACATTTCACAACAGGTATGTCCTACAAGGCAGCAAAGGTGCTTGCCTCTTCCCCAAGGCCTCCCAATTCACACTAAACACCCCCCTTTCTGCCTGGAACAAGGGAACTGACCTGTTCAGACTCCTCATCGCTGATACTGGTCCGGCCCAACATGGTTGCTTTGACCGTGGACAGGATTTTCAGCTGAGTACTGATGGTTGGGATTCGTTCACAAACCTACACAAACACAAAGTTACACCCTGGTTATTTCGTTATCACCTGGGGCTTTCCTTAAATATAACAAAATTCTATCATTGCTTTTTACTTAGGTGGTCTGCATCAAAAATAACCCTACATTACGTGTGTGTGTGTGTGTGTGTGTGTGTGTGTGTGTGTAATTGACAATATTAGTTACATTAATCATACATCATTATAATAATCTATAATCTATATGCATAACAATGGCTCTGTGTGTGTATGTTCCAGGATAACATTGGAATGCCTTGAACAATTCCANTTGATGATGATAACATCCTTGCCTCCTTTCAGGTTTTGGTTGCAGGGAAAAATCTGGGTGAAATATAACAGGAGATGAAGGGAAAGCCATTGCAGAACCAAATTATTTGCTTATGAAAAAAAAAGGAACACGGTTATAAAGAAATGTTCTTCTTGATTTAATTCATATCATTGTTTGTGAGGCCATTGTGTCACCACAGCAGCCTTGACTACACAGAGGCTCAGCGTTTCCCAAGTTCCATAATTAAAATGGGGACTTAAGTTAAGAGAAAACCAATTTCATCTTTGTTTTGTATTTCTGACACAATCCACGTTTGCATCGAAGACAGTCCCATACTAGTGGAGAAGATGAACCTAGTTCTCACACATAATTGTGCGACAGGATTTAAAGATTCATATTCTGAAACAGAGGGATGTGGTGGCTAAGTTGCTGAGTTTGTTCATCAGAAAGTTCGGCGGTTTGAATCCCTAGCACCACGTAACAAAGTGAGGTCCCGTTACTTCTCCCAGCTTCTGCCAACCTAGCAGTTTGAAAGCACATAAAAAATTCAAGGAGAAAAATAGGGACCACTTTGGTGGGAAGGTAACAACATTTTGGCGTTGAGTCATGCTGGCCACATGACCACGGAGACATCTTCAGACAGCTCTGGCTCTTGGGCTTTGAAACAAAGATGAGCACCGCCCCCTAGAGTCGTGAACGACTAGGACATGTGCGAGGGGAACCTTTACCTTTGGTTTACACTCCAGTGACAATTTCAAACTGGACTACCTTTATTTTGACACAAAGGATGTCAATTGTGACACGTTGGGTGCATTGTTCTGTGGTTAGATATATCTTTATTTCTTATTGTAATGGCAGAATCATATGTACTTGCAATTATTTTAATTCCCTCAAGGGAAATGCAAATAGCCCGTGTCCTCTTATCATTTATAGCAAAGTTTTACAGACGAGATCATGAAAAGGTTATGTGGGGGTCTGTTAAAGTACTGTCATAAAAAAATAATCCACTGGAAATATTTTATAGAAATGCATTTTCATTTTATTTGACCAGAATGGAGAAAGTCAAAAATATTAGCATATACACAACAACATTCTGGTTTACAAACAAAAGTAGTGGCAAAATGCTCCTGACATTCAATCTGATGGACAGGAGTGTTTAGGAAAGCATAATTGCATAAGGTGTAGTTCAGGATATTAACATTTACAAAGTTTTGAGTTTAGTAGTAAATATTCCGAGGAACTCTCCCTAGTCCAATACAATTCAAAGCTTTCCTTTAAACATCCCTTAACAAAAGCGAAGTCTTTGGTATAAACTTACGTAATCAAAAGGCATTAATAATATTGCATTAATACAAAGTAAAGCTATTAAATGGTAGTGATTTAAGTCAGCGATCTCCAGCCATTAGCAACCCCAAGACTTGTGGACTTCAACACCCAGCTAGCTGAGGAACTCTGGGAGTTGAAGTCCACAAGTCTTAATGGCTGGAGATCGCTGACTTAAATCACTACCATTTAATAGCTTTACTTTGTATTAATGCAATATTATTAATGCCTTTTGATTACGTAAGTTTATACCAAAGACTTCGCTTTTGTTAAGGGATGTTTAAAGGAAAGCTTTGAATTGTATTGGACTTGGGAGAGTTCCTTGGAATATTTACTACTAAACTCAGAACTTTGTAAATGT